GCCCTTATTAAGAGTTGCATTCGATTTTCGATCTTCGCTGGTTATCGAAAGTGAAATTCGTACTATGAGCTACGCAACGGTGTCGAAATTTTCGTTGAGTATCGAATTTTCTGTCGAACAGAATTTTGCTTTCGATGGTATAGCGAAGTGTTAGAAAATTTTGAATTTGTTTTCTTACTTTTTGGCGGCTAGACACAAATTATAAACAATTTTTATTAATTTCATGCAGTTCTAACGACGTGAATATTAAACACAAACTCGAAAGCCGGGTTTTACTTGTGAAACGAAATCCCAATACTCAGTTGGAACGATCTCTGAGAACAAAATCGTAGAGCTGTTGATTGTTTTAAAATATTTTCAATAGATTTGACTCACAAACGCCTCTTTAGACAGTCGGAAGTTTTTAACAAATCTGTAGACAAATTTCTTAAGTATATTTTATGTCAAATATATTCGAAAGACTACACTTAACCCTCATAAATATTTTCTACTCCTGGCCTCCTCATCATCCTCAGAGGTGCATCGATATACATAAGCACTGTAATTAGATATTCAATGACGAAAAGAGTGCGTTGTTTTCATAATGTTTAATTTATTTGTACTCAAAAAATAGATTCCTTTAAGCTGTCAAAGAAGTGCGTAGTACTTTTATGTTATGTATGTGAAATTTCATCTTTCAATTTCTTCTATGTCCGAATGTTAGTTTAAACAACAATATATATAAAAAATAAAAAGCATTAAATAATAATAAAAAATTTTTGTTAGCGGGGAATGAAACAAATATAAGTCTTTCAACCCTTATTTCTTGCGAACCGTTTGCGATATCTTTTGCGATACTTATTTGATATTAATGCCGGCTCGACAAAAATATTTCCATTTAGTATTTTATCTTTAGAAATATCAAAACAACCTTGCTTATTTCTTGCAACTATCGTAAATGAAAGTTTCACTGCCACAAACTGAACGACATATAAATCATATTGCTATTGTTCCCAAATTAATTTGCGAGAGTTTTTCCGGGTTAAAGCTCGCATTTCACTCGCATGCGTTATCATGTGCGAGCATTAGGTCCGCTGGGTGGTGGTATTAACATTGAAAAGCTTGAAATTAAAAAAAACATTATCAGTGCGAATACAGTACAAATCCATACATATATACGAGTTCACACAAATGATGACACCGCCGGTGATGATATCGATGAGGGCTATGATCGATACACTATAAAGCAAAAGTTAGCGGAAAATTCTACTTCGAATATATTGAGCCCTAACCGCCAAAATAACGTAAGTGACATTTTTTTCAAAATTTTCTTTTTGATGCAGAAATGCATCTAGATGCTCTAGGAATATTTCTGCATCAAAAAGAAAATTTTGAAAAAAATGTCGCTTATGTACGTTATTTTGGCGGTTAGGGCTCGATATGTTTATGTATGTATTTACTTGTAAAAGTATAAGTTAGTGTTGTGAGTATCGAGTGCTTTTGAGAATCGAGTACTTTCTTTAAATATACATGTGTTGGTAACATTTCAATGCTTAGTGTAGAAATCTCACTAGCTGACAGGACTTTATTCAAATTAATATATTAATCCCAATAACGTCGATTGAATGCTACTTTGGAGGGGTTGGGCTTGAAATCCCCAAAATCGAAATCCCCAAAACAAAATCCACAAGACCAAAATCCCCAAATTCAAAATCTCGGCGATTTTAGACCTAATCAAAACGCATTTCACACATGTTTGGGCCATATTGACCTTCAAAGTTATTTTAGTACATTTTTCTTAAAAGACAGACATATATACATATGTAAGTATATACATAGAACAAAAATTGAAATAAGAGATAGCAATTCATACATAATTTTATAAAACAAAAAACAAAAACCGATGTTCTTGCTTTTTATTTTTAGAATGCCATCTGCATGTAAGCGTATCCGTCAACAAATAAAAAATCGTTTCCTTTATTGCATTTTTCAACGTTTACCTCCAATACATATGTACATGCAAACATACTGGTCTCCCCTCTCACTTAGTTATTCACTACGCTTGAGTAGCTAGTATGTATTAGGGCTTTGAGTTCTGTGTGGAATGTCTGGATAATCTGTGAAAAATTTCACACTTAATGGAGTTCGTCGATCTTAACAATATTAGATCGCTAAAACAACAGTCCTTTGTCGGGAAAAACTCGAGCATGCCTTAGGAATAAGAATACACCATCGGCTGAACTTCGTCTCGCCCAAAATTATTTTTTTATTAAAATATTTGGTCCAACGTTTTCACCAACAATTCGCGTTCACGTTTGACTTTGTGGTCGTCAGAAGGCAAATCCTCGATTGCCGGCTTAAATAACCTAATGAGGGCGTTATGTTCGTGAAGAAGTTCTTGCGGCAACAATGATCCGGCTCGTTGGTGAATCGTTCTTGATTCTGTATAGTACAGTTGGTGGCAATTTCAAAATGGGGAGTATCATTGGTCCGCAAAAATCCAATATATATAGACTTCTTTCAGAAGAAATACCCTAAATATCTTACAATTGTATTTGTAGACATTTATTTTGTTTAGTCACGGTAAGTCAAAACCCGAAATGGTTCTGGTGGCTGATTTAACGGAGATAATTTGACTTTGCTCCTAATTTTTGAGAACCTAATTTATACAGGCACCCACTTAAACATATAAACAAAAATCATTGAAATCACACGGGTCGTTTATAAGGACTGCACTCACAAACATACCTACCGAAGAATTATGTATGTATGTATGTATTATGTATGTTTTTTTGGAAAAAATTCGCAATAAAAAAGACTTTATTGCATTTTTTAAACAATGTGCCGTTTTTGTTGTTTTCGCAAATGGCTTATTTCGATAGCTTATTTTCCAAGCTTTCCAACGGTATATAATTTGTATTGGGCGTGGCAAAAGGACTACACCTTTTTCATCATAGAACTCAATCGGGTCCGCCTTGCATTTTTGTCGGCAATAACACAAGTTTACAGAAATTAAAAAAAAAATGTTCGACCAGCGGCATTTTTATGCATGGTAATATAAAATATCCCACTGAATCCTAATACAAAACTAAAATGTAAGACAGTAGAACAGTTTTTGAGATATAGCCGAATTTCGGGTTTTTGAGATCTGAAAGAGTGCACTCACTTCATTACAATTTTCTTTAGATCCAATTGGCCAACTGCAACATTTTTTTATGAATTTTTATGAAGAATTTTTCGCTGAATCCGAATACGAAATCAGAGTACAAGAAAGTAGAAAGATTTTTGGGATATTGCCGAATTTCGTGTTTTTGGGATCTGAAAAAGTGCACCCACTTAATTGCAATTTTCTTTGGATGTCGATGGCCAATCTCAAATTTCCTTTTGTCTTTCCTTTGTCTCATGTATAGCTCCGAAATTGCTTATCAAGTTGTAAGTTGACTTGTTGACGTATATGATAGCAAATTTAATAGCCTTTACTATACTAATACCTACAAGCCTACCAAGCAAATCGGACCATAAATACGATTTTTGGAATATATCAGTAGCTGGTCCACCTACAGGAAAAAAGCTACCTACGTACCAAATTTCAAGTAAATCGAACCATAAATAAGATTTTTTGGACCGGATCGGTTCTTGGTTCACCTTTCGGAAAAAAGTACATTTTTTTTGCCCTTGACATGCAGGCTGCTGAAAGCTATTCATTTACTAAATTACATGAAAATCGGACCTTCCGTTCGCGAGATTACCTTTTACAAAAAAAAAGGAACTTCTCTTTATATAACACCGTGCGACAAAAACAAAAAAAAAAATCAAAATACACGAAACAATCAATATATGTACTCACAAAGCAATGGGTCAAATATAGTAAAGCTGCGTTCTTAATTTTTTACTCTGAAGTCAGGATTTTTTTTTAATGACTTTAAAATGTTAAAGATATGATTGATTCAAAAAATTATTTAAAAAATCCGTGGAATATACAACAAGAATGTGGGGACAAAATTCTGTAGAATTGAAAAACATTAAAGTTTTTTGCCCCGACGATACTAAAGGCGGATTCGTCGTTTTAGTTCTGAAGTTGATTTAAGTAACAACTCAAAAGCTTTTAGAAGTTTTCTCAGTTTCTCTGCCCGAGAGGGAAACACAACATCAACCACGTGAAAGAAAAGTTTTGAGGGTCTACTCTGTACTGCGATTCGAAAAGCAAATCATTCGGATACGAATACTGGGCTCTATGAATTTGTATTAGTCCGTGTCGCCTTTCGAATCGCATTGAGTTTTGAATCGCAATACAGAGTATAACTAGAACCATGAACCCAAGGCGAATTTAACCACTTAGGATTTGGCCTTTGAACCTGTGGTAAGATGAAAGTAAAGACAACATGTGGTCGATTCACTGAATTAGGCAGAGTTTAATAATCTGCCACAACAAAAAAAAAACAGTGAGCAATTTTCCTTTCGATTTTCCTTTTTTTTAAATAGTTTTCTGCCGTAGAAATTTTCCAGAATTCAGCTCTATTTACAATAAAATAAATATAGTTGAATTTTTAGATGCTATTATACATAGCTATAAATAATCTAGGTGAAAAACCGGCGGGAGATTCTGTAACCGTTTAACGACAATTTTCCAACCGCCACCGCACTTTTTGACGCATAATATGAATGTTTTTGCGTCTAAAACTGTGATAGCGATTCGAAAATTGTCGCCAACTGGTGGATTTAAATGAAAAAATCGCCGAACAGAAATCTGTTTAAAGTAAACAAAATATCGCTTGGCGCGAACCCATTATGGGTTTCAGTTTGAAACTAAGTGAATATGGTCTATTTTTTCTCTGTGTACGTAAATACTTTCAATTCACTGATAGCCCGAAAACCTTTGTGATAGACGCAAAATTACTATCTGTGCTAATCACAAACGGCAATAAGTTTTTTCCAATATTTCGTGTTATTAAATTTAAGGCTGAAAACTTAGCCTTCAGTTTATATTTCAGTTTTGTACGCGACTTAATCACGTAGCTAAAATGCGAATTATTTCTTCAGTGACAAGTTCGACATTATTTCTCGCCTTGATAATAGCATGCCGCGCTGATAGCGACGAAAGTGATGAAAGCGGCGAACGAAACACAAAAATCTTCGACAGGATTACCTCGCTGCTTTATCGAACTACTAAAAATCATGGGCATCATCAAGACGGACCTGGCAGCCTAAGGCATCCTTATCTATACATGGGATTTCCATACTATATTGGAGCAGGGCCATATATGCCAGCGGAATATCAGAGGACACCACCACAAGGACATCCATCTGTAGCTTATAGCGCTCCACAGCCGGCACCAGGCGCTAATACATTTAATGTTGCACAGCTACCCAACAATGCAAATCCAAACTATTCCCTATATCCAAATTACCCTGCATACCCGAGTGTTCCCACATATAATCCATATCCAAGCATACCAACGCAGGCGTATTCATCAGATAAAAAACACCGTCATCGCCATTCATCAGAGGAAGATTCAGAAGAGCGTAACTATTCCAGAGGACAACATGATTCAGGAAACGGTGTTAGTTCTATGGATCATTCGCTAAAATCAAATACTGAATATCAAGAAACGGGGCATTTCTTTGGCCCATATCAAGGACGTCCGTTAGGCTTACAATAAGTTACTGAGCAGTCGTGCATCAATTAAGTTTTTGTTGTTGAAATACTGACGAAGAGAAAAAAAAATAAAAATAAAAACAGATACATATAAATATATATGTACATACATATTTATCGCTTCCTCAATATAGAAAGGCCCTATCTCACATTGTCGCTGAAATACGAATCCCAAATGGCCTTTTTGATAGATTATGATGCATTTCATCGAATTATAAGTCCCCACATAATTTTAAGCAATAAAAAATTTTAGTTAGGACTCTTTTCTATTTCAGCGACTGTATCAGTTAGGGGCATTCTTTATTAAGGTACAGGAAGGCACAGCCGTACATTAGATTACAAAGCAAGTTGACCTAAACTTTGCAAAATAAAAGTACGGGTATCATTCAGTGTTGCCATTTTTGGCCTTTGGAGCTAGATTTAGGTCTTTATTTTCCTATTTAGCTCCGAAAATTGGAAAAGTTTTAGTTGTATTTGGTAAAATATTAAGATTAAAAAAAAACTGTAATATCATTGTACAAGTCGTCGCCTGGGTAAAAGATTGTCGTATGTTAATTTCGGCAGGTTGTGGGAAATCGCGATTGAAGTTTGGAATGCAATTTCTCAAAAACGCGAAGATAGATTTTCTCCAAAGTCTCTGAAAATGTTACTAGTTCACAAAATGTTTAAATTATTTAATTTTTAATGTTTACTGTTAATTAGTTTTGAGTT